GTGTAAATGGCAAGGCGTCGAAACTTGTCTCGTCATATCTCAACGGTAGAATTCAGAAAGTAGACATAAATGGAGTGACTTCTTTGGGTTCTCCAGTAAAAATGGATGTTCCGCAGGGCTCAATACTTGGACCTTTCTTATTTCTGATTTATATTAATGATCTGCCATTCTTTGTTAAGGACCATTGCGAAATAGTGTTGTATGCTGATGACGCATCCTTGATTTTTAAAACAGACAGACATGACATTAACTATGACCGTATTAATGATACCCTCTCTAAGGTAGTTTATTGGTTTAATGCTAACAATTTATTGCTTAATGCCACGAAGACAAAATGTGTTAAATTTGAATTACCTAACGTAAAATCGACTAGCCCAAGCATAGAAATAAACGGAGAAAAGTTAGATCTTGTTAATAAAGCAGTCTTCTTGGGAGTGACCTTAGATAGTAAACTTCAGTGGTTTCCACATATATCGTCCCTGGCCAGCAAATTAAGCTCCGCTGCATACGCAGTCCGCAGAATACGTGAGCTTACCGATGTTAGTACTGCTAGACTAGTTTACTTTAGTTACTTCCATAGTATAATGTCCTACGGGATTCTCATGTGGGGTAAAGCGGCAGATATTCAAACCATATTTGTATTGCAAAAACGAGCGATTAGTTCTGTGTACCGTCTAGGCTCTCGGGTATCTCTCAGAGAAAAGTTTAAGGAGACTGGTATCATGACTGTGGCATCACAGTACATTTACTCAAATATTTTATATGCCTGTAAAAATATACATAATTTCAATAAGAAAGAAGATATCCATAATATTAACCTTAGAGCTAAGTCCAAACTCATGGTTAACCAAGGTAAACAACTCTTTTATGGGGAACTGTATACGTTTTTACAATAAGATTCCGGAGCATATATTAAGTTTATCATTTCCTAAGTTTAAAAACTACATTAAAAATATTTTGATCGAAAAATCATATTACAAAATTGAAGACCACGTGTTAGATAAAGATGTTTGGAAAGACGACATGGCTCCAGAATCGATACAAATTTGATTCAAAGTGTATTCCATAGCATTTAAGTTTATTTGAAAAGAGCAATCCCTAGAGTTTCTTGCTCGTTCTTCTCAGGGAGGTCAGCGTAGTGAACGAACAGTAGCTTAAGTGTGACGTTTTCAAGTGTAAATTTATTTTACCTATGGAATAAATAATCTTTGACTTTGACTTTGACTTAGAATTTGTATTTCGTATTTGCCTTAAATTTGATTTCAGGACTTCTTTAAGTGACCAGAATTTCCTCTACGAATTTTTTACTCTTCTTTCAATTTCTTTGTCCTTTGTGGATATTATTTGGTCCAAGTATATCACAATAAATAGCATAGCTTATTCTGGGCCTTTACAGCCTTTCATCACTACAACACCTCATTTTACAAAACTAAACCTCCTTACTCTATTGTCAATCAATATACATTCTTGAAACAGCAATGTTTATTAGAAAACACATATCCACTTTTAAACCAGTTAAAGTGTTCGCTGTAAAATCTAGAAATCTAGAGATGTATAGAAATAGCCCTTATTACAGGGCTATACTCATAATATATAGTAAAATATCAGACATATTGAAAATAGAGGACATATATACACTTTTTAAAAACAAATTAAGTTTGTTACTCGTATCTAAAGGTTACTATCGAGTTCTTAGATTTTCGCGATTGTTACACATAGGAAATGAAAGTCAACCGTGACCATGGGTCCTGTAAAGGGCCCGAAAAGTCGGTTTGTTTGAAACAACAAATATACGCGATTTAAATCCGGAAAAATAGTTTCATTTCCTATAAAGGTTACTACTCAATAGAAGAGTTCTTGTCAGATAGAGAGCTATGAACAATATGGATAAATGTTCTGTATCTCACGAACCGCATACTTCGAATATAAGTACATATTTAGTCATTTTTAAGTGATAATGCATGTTTGAATTTGATTAGAGTAGTTCCAATTTTATCTATAATAAAACTCTATAGTTTTAAAGTATAAAATATAGTATTAAATATAATATTAAAGTGTTATAAAATATAATATTAAAGTATAAAATATAGTTCTAAAGTATAAAATTGTAAATTAAGTACATGTAAATTTAATAATTAAATCTTTCTATGCAATCATTATATTCATTAGTAATTATTATAATGCATAAATGCAATAAATAAATGAAAAAGTAATAGATCTTTTATGAACATTACTAATGAATGAGTATCACATCGCCAATATGAGGACAACACGGACTTATGATGTGCAGGGCATCTCATATTACTCCTGGCAGAATCTATAGACCCCATTCAAACCACAGCATCATATACAAGTATTGGCAGCATTCATATTATGTGTATTGCTTGTGGCCTGATGTTTTGGAAGGCATACATGCACTGTTAAAGTTACAAAAATCACAGAACTGTGTGAGTAGTGCATATACAAATGTCCATAGGACTTATTCTTATATGAGTACCAATGATAATGAATTGGTAATGACCAATTAAAACACCCAATAGTGCAAAGACTGTGTGAAGAAGTATAAGTGGATTATAATAGCTTTTATAATAGTTCCACTTTGAGGATAATATTGAATTTCCTTATGCACAGGTTAGGTTAAAATCAATTCATTACCATTGTATTTGACTTTCTTATCGTCTACCTATTTAAACTAAACTCAAGCTTGTTGACATTCCATTTAAATGCAAAGAGAGTAAGTCTTGCTTAGGCATTGCTAAAATGGGTTTACCTAAACAAAAATCTATACTGGAAGGTACGGCCAAAATAATCCTTCAGTTCTATAACACTGTTCGCCGTCCAAATTGTTAATAGTGGTGATCAATAATTGATTAATTATTGATGGTCACATAGAAGAAGAGCTACATAAGTTCTGAATGAGGCCACCCTAATAATAATAGGAAGTCATCACAATTATTATGTGGAATCAACTTTACCCAGTCACAAAATTATTGCAGCAAGAACATAAAACAAAGTGTTCGCTACCACAAGGGCTGCGTATGTGAAATGCATAATGTCTTTTTCACCCTTATCATATGAACACAATAGTTTTTGTGTATCAATAAGTGTGGTGACTCCTTTATAGAACAGTTGCATCAATATTATGATACTTCAAAACACAACAGACAAACAGAAGAAAAGTAAAAAGCATAATATGCCTTATAAACAATCCTCCATAAATTTAAGAACAATGTGCTTTGCAATATGTATCAATTTTGATTCTATTATTAGGCAAGTAATAAATATAATCATTAAGAGCCTGTTTAATTGAGAGGTTGATGGTTTGAATTCTGGAGGCTGCATCAAGCTATGTCTTTAATTTATACCTTTTAAAATGTATATTTTACATGTTACTGATTTAGTACCTTATTCTCTTGTTATATACACTTTATGTATGTTGTATACACTATATGTATATAACTATTCCCACTAACAGTGAAGGGATACATCGCAATGAAACCTGCATGTCAAAGAAAGTCACAACTTAGTAAAATACGTCTAGTCCTCAACCTACACGAGTTTGGGAGACTTGGCCTAAAGCCTCTTTTAAGCGGAGACTCATTGAAGGAATTGTTGGGACATAATATATTAGGTAGTCAATGATGATAATATTTTATGGGTTATGTACACATACACGCATATACACACAATACACACACATACACATTATTATTTTTATTTTTAATTAGCCTACATAATAAGATTAAGCAAGCAAGAGCACTGAATCTAGTAATAAGTATACCAGTTTGGAAGAGCGGTGACTTCCGGCACAAGTATTTTCATTCTTAAAAGAAGTTCACCACCAATAATATATATGCAACCTAGACCCATTGACCTCCCAACAAATGGACATCGGGTTCGCGCTAAAAAGTGTCCGCACCTATAGGGTGTTAAAATCGCATTTTGTTCGACTGACAGCACGGTTGTCAATCATGAAGTACTATATAATAATAACTTGTAAAAATTACTGCAGTAAAGTGTAAAAACAGGATTATGTACCATATTTTCTCTAAACAAACATTGTGTTATCATAGATATCATTTAAAATTGTTATTTTGTACAGTTGTGTAGTACTTAATTTATATATAAATGAATCGTAAATAGAAATTACAAAAGCAAACAAAATAATCAAATAGCTAATTGTCCTTTTTCTAAACATTGCATGCGCAAAAGATGGAAAGAGACCCATTACGTCAACTTCAAGCTTATATAAACTTCTTAGTCATTTTCAATGGTTCAAACCACAAGCGATTTAAATATTTAAAACAAAGAAAGTACAGAGTCGCCTTGATTTTAATCTTATTTTGTTATTAAACATTAGCAATAACTAACAAAATACTGTTGTACTCATTTTACGGTTTGGGATTACCTGTCAGAAATCAGAAAATACATTTAATAATACCAATAAAGAAATAGGCTTAGCTTGAATTTTCATAATGTCAAATGTATTTTTTTAGGAATATTACAAAACAAAAGCTAATTTTGTCTTTGTGAAAAGCATCAAAATTACTTGAATGCAGTACTAAGTCAATTTACTTCAAATTACATATGTCAAATTTTATTTCATTTTTATATTTTTTATGGTTAAGTAAAATTTACAACAGCTCAAAATCTTGTGTAATAAAAATATACCAAAAAGTTTATTCTTATCTATCTATCTATATTTATGCTTAATAATATACATTTTATGCAGTATTTAGAATTTGGAAAATTTTCAAATAAGAATGTTAAAGCTTTTGTTTCTAACAGCATTTGGCTGTAAGCCAATTTATCATCATAATTAACAAAAGTAATAAACACCTATGCTACTACACCATTAATCTAATATCAAAAAATTTAATACAATGAATGCAAAACAAACTCATTACAACTACAACAGGTATTTATTTTAGACTGTCTTTTCTTGTTTAATAATTTTGCCTAGTCAATGGTGTCTATTAGGGTGACAGACAGGTACTCACCCACATACACAATGGCTCCTGCATCATGAAGGTCAGAACATCCACAAACTGCTCAGTGATGTTCCTGGTGGTGTTTGCGGTATGGCTGCCGATGGGCATGATGATCGGCTGGTGCTGGCCACCAGCCCCTGTGGCGGCTGCGGCTGCAGCTGCCATGGCCTCCTGCCGCTGCAGCGTCACATTCACCCGCCACGCCGGATCACTAGTCACTCCGATCGCGTGGTACACTGCGATCGACAACAACAGCACACTGCCCGCCGTGTACACCTTGAGATTCGGCAAGGGCAACCTGTCCACGAGTGTCACTGGCATCTTGAACGTTTCCCTTTTATATTAGCGCGACAAAACGAACATTCGACACCGTCTTTTCAAACTTAATGACATTGGCTTTAAAATTTTAGAGATGAGACGTAGTTTTATAAGTAAAATAATTATTGCGCGAGATAATAAACAACACAAACGTAAGCTGAGCCGCGTGAAGCGCGTGATGTATTCACTTCACTTCACTTTTTATTTTTATGGCTCCATCAATATGAGAACTGATGATTTTGCCAATGTCACAGTTGAAAGAAAAAAAAACGAAACAAAAAAAAAAAATTTTCGCTAAGCTCTAATAGGACATTAACCGGTGTTGGTAAGTTGGACTACGGGAGTACTCAGTTGAGAATGTAAAACAAAACAGCAAAACAATATTTATAAATATATGTTATTTAAGTGGATAAATTTACATAGAGTAACAATATGGGGGGAGAACACTAAAGTTAAGAGGTTGTTACGTTATTTTATTTTTGTCCATTTGACTTGACATTTTGACAAATGGGATTGGTAGAATTTTATTTGTCAAGGTCACACGACGATTAAAAAAAAAGTAATTATTTTTATAAATTCCTTCTAATTAATAAAACAATAAATTATTATCTATATTATTTTCTTACATACTAGTGAACAAAATAATTTTCATACTTGATTAATAGATTTTTTAGATACGTAGTTGTTCAGGATCTCCTTGTAAATAGGTTGACATATATACCCTTACTTAATTTAGTTATGTAAGTAGCACAGTAGGTAATATTTAGTTTAGTTTATTATTCTTTTTAAAGTGTTAGCTCCGTCGATATAATTGACGATGACATTATGAATGACCAAAACAAAACAAAATTGTCAAATTACAAGGATTTGACGTTAATATTTAATTAACATTACGTATCGTGTTTTAGTATCTGGATAATTCATATTTTAAACTAAAGGTTTTACACAGCTCTTACTGAAATACGAAGGATCTGAGTAGATCGTAGAGTTAAAAGTTTAAAGCACTCGAAATCATACTCGAGTCCCTGCCATTAGGGTCGTATTTCCAGTGCTTGAAATCATACTCAGATCCTGACTTGAGCATCTGGAATAAAACAAACCTGCTGAAGAAAAATAGAAACTAATGACTAGGCAGTATGGTCTCTGACCTTCGTCTGTTCCAAACGGAACGAAGGAAAAAAAATCGAAATTTATTTGACAAGTGGGTGACGGTGTCGTTGGGTGTTTTACTTATTAAATTTTTGCTATAACTAATGAAATAGCGTCGAAAACTCTTTTAAATAATGTCTGAAAGAGATTACGCGCCGCTGAGCATAGCCTGCGTCCGCGGGCTATGCGAAAAAATATACGAAAAAAGGAAATTTGCCGGTGTAGAAATTGAAAAGTATTTATACACTTTTTATACACTTTCCTTATTTGTTTGATTCTTATAAATATATTTGGTTTTTTAAAATGTCAGCAAAGTCCAATACAATATGTCAAACCTGCCATTAAAGTGTGAACGTGCTGTGTAACGTGTTTTCAGGATGGTAAAAGACTTCAGTGATGCGAACAACACGAGCCAGATCAAGCGGCTGATCCGGGTGTTAGGTCAAGACTTGATGTCGTCCACCAGCCCCAACGTCAAGAACGGAGCCCTTATGGGTTTGTCGTCAGTTGCTGTGGGACTGGGGAAGGTTACAACTTTCATAGTTTTATTAGTAAAAAAACTTTTAGTCTTCCCTAAAGTTATAATTAATAATGTTAATCACGAAAATTAGCTTAATTTTTGTTCATGCAAACTGGGTAAGGTAAATAACAAAGTAAGGCTAATTTACTAAATTCTTTCCTGATTGACAGCAATGAAGCTGCAGAAGTATGTTGTGTGGAAAGAAAATAATTATAAATTTAGAAAGAAAGAAAGTACATTTATTTGCTTACCACATTGAGATCACAAAAGAAAAAAAAGAAAAGAAAAAAACAGAACAAAAACAAAACATAGTCAAAACATTCAATGTAAAATATAAATAAATAATGATGAAACAAAAACACAAACATAGCAAAACAAAAATGTATTTAAAAAAATTATATTAAATTAAGACACTAACTATTCACACAAATAATAAAAAGAGCACTATATATAGAGATACTTTGTGTGGTGCCAGCCACTGTAACAAAAGGGTCACAAACTTAGTATTTGCTGGAAATCGCAATGTGTTCCCAGCACTGATTTTACAGTTAAGACTCAAGTGGGGTCACGGATAAACATATGCAAGCATACTTACTTGAATGTACTACTACACTTACATCAAGCAACTAGTATACTCACAACAAAAAGTTATTGTTTTAAGAATAGCTGTATTCAACACATATTACATAACAAATTTCAATAAATGTTTCTGAAATTTGTATAAAAGTATTTAATAAATAGGTGCTGGAAAAAGTTAAGAGCTTTCCTTTTGATTTTCCAGCAGGCGAGTCTGCTTGCACTTAAAAGCATTCCTAATAGATTTACATTCTCACAAAATGTTTATTAATTTATTGTTTTTTTTTTTTATTTAAATAGAATTATTTATTTTGGACAATGATCCATAATAATGTTAGTAATACAGTAAATTTTTCTTATGTGCTATGGTTAGTACAATACAAAATTACTTAATTCTAGTGAAATGCCACATCTAGACTACTACCCTACGCATGTGTAGAACATGTTTAACATATCAATGAAATGGTCATGTATCAATAATTTTGACTTGTTTGTTGGGAATATATTAGGGGTTAAAGTATGAAATTGCCGTTTTATTGCAATAGGTTCTTTGAATTTTCATAGAATCTTCATGGTTTGAGGTTTTCGAATGAAACTTTTTTCAAATGGTTTCTGTGATTTTTTTTTTTTTAAATTTGAAACATTTGAATATCGACTTTCAATTGTTTTTGTTATTCAATTTAGACAAGAAAGATGGATACTGCGAAAATTCGAGTGATTTTTGAATACGAGTTCCGACGCGGAACTAACGCGGCAGAAACAGCCCGCAATATCAATGCTGCGTTTGGAGAGGGGTCTACTAATGAACGCACCGTGCGATTTTGGTTTAAACGCTTTCGTGATGGAAATTTCGACTTAAAGAACGAGTCACGAGGAAGACCGCCCACACAAGTGAATAACGATGAATTAAGAGAGATAGTGGAAGCCGATCCTAATCAAACTACCCAGGAATTAGCGGCATGGTTTAACGTTACCTTACCCACAATATTGACTCACTTGCGTCAAATCAATAAAATAAAAAAATACGAAAAATGGGTGCCTCATGATTTGACTAATCTGCAGAAAGAAACGCGTGTTGAAACTTGTGTAGCCTTGTTGAACCGGTACAGAAATGAAGGAATATTGGATCGAATTGTAACATGTGATGAAAAGTGGATTCTTTATGATAACCGGAAAAGAAAAATGCAATGGCTGACCCCAGGTCAAATGCCACAACAGTGTCCTAAAGCAAAACTTACCAATAAAAAGGTAATGGTAACTGTTTGGTGGTCTCAGCATGGTGTTATTCACTATAGTTTTCTCCGATCTGGTCAAGCAATAACGGCAGATGTCTATTGTGCCGAACTCCGAACCATGTTGACAAAACTAGCAGTAAAACAGCCCCGACTCATGAATCGATCTTCACCATTATTGCTCCACGACAACGCGAGACCTCACACAGCACGAGAAACCATTTTGACCCTTCAGGAACTGACGTTAGAAACCATTCGTCATCCTCCGAATTCACCAGACCTTGCTCCAACGGACTACCATTTTTTTCGTGATTTGGACAATTATCTACGTGACAAGAAGTTTTCTTCCCAGGAGGCAGTACAAAATGCTTTCACACAGTTTGTGCAGTCTAGATCGTCGGAGTTCTATCGCAAAGGCATTAATAACCTTCCCATTAGATGGCAGCAATGTATAGATAATAATGGCAACTATTTTGATTAAATAAATTTGTTAAAAATTTAAAAAATAAACAATTTAGATTTTCAGTACAAATCGGCAATTTCATACTTTAACCCCTATTATTAATTTGCACAACTATAGTTCATTTCACATAGGATGGGTACTGTGACATTTTTAAATAATCTCTCAATCAGATTACAAAAAGACATACTTTTGTTATATTACTTCTCAACACTAATTTGATATAAAAATTACATTAAATAGAAAGAAAGTGATAAAAATAAATTACCTCAAAATTTAGTTGTTTTTACATCATATCTACGTCTCTAGTAACTTCTAAATCTCAAACATCACTGTACCCACGCTATGTGGAAAGTATTATGATGAGTAAAACTTAAAGGCAATACAATAATATGACATCAGAGCAGCATTGATGTCTAGATGTATTTGGGAAAAGTTATTTTTTAAAAACCAGTTCCATTTAGAATGATTTTGTTTAGAACATTTTTTTTAAATATCTACAACTGTATAATAATAATTATACTGCGTACACTCAGCCCCGCACTAGGGAAACATACACAACCACAAATTACACCCAAACTGATGAGAGAAATAAATGTAGGCCATACAAATATTTCTCCTGGCCTGGGAATCGAACCCGGGACCTCTGCGTGGCAGACCAGCATTTTTTCTTTGATAAATAATAGATTTTACCTTAATTAGTATTGGTTGTGATCAAAAACATTTGTTTTAATAAAGTTATGATCCATGATATTCTGTTCTGTAGGGCTGTGTTGCGTATCTGCCGGAGTTGATCCACCCGATCCTGGCGTGCTTCAGCGAGAGCGAGTCACGCGTGCGCTACCAAGCGGCGGAGGCGCTGTTCAATGTGGTGAAGATCGCGCGCGAGCACACGCTGCCGCACTTCCCGCTCGTGTTCGACGCGCTCGCTCGCTTGGCCGCCGACCCGGAACCGCAGGTCAAGCAGGGCGCAGAACTGCTTGACAGACTTGTTAAGGTAAGCGTCGCAGAAAGCACCTGTGCAATTTTCGCGTGAAGGTGACACTTGCCGAGCCGAAAGAATCGAATTTTAGAATTCGTTGTATGAAATCGTTATGAATGTACTCACATACGTCTTATCGCCGAGTCGGTCGAATCGCCGGAAAACTTCCCAAAGTACCCAACTCCCATACGAATTTGGATAATGTTATCAGATATTTGAAAAAACGAATGTACTCGATTTATATCCGGAAAAATAGTTTCATTTGTAATGTGTAGCAATCACGAAAACTTAAGAACTCGAAAACCTAAGAGAGAAACTTAAGAGCTTTTTCCACGTTAAGTCAAACGTATTTCACTTTCTTCATCTTCCATCAATAAAGAAGTGACATAAAAACCTCATCAAATTCCATCACTATGTAGGTACATAATTATTGTATTGTTCACTTCACATAATAATGAAACATAGTTACACCACAGAGGGAACATATAGGGAACAGGTGTGCTAGGCCTAAAGAAACTTTGTTTCGTTCGGCGCGGTCGATTTTTTCGGCTCGAACAAGTGTGCGATCACTTAAAACTTATTACGTTGGCTCAGCAACTTAAAGTAGATCTTGGCCTCTGTGAGCAGTAGACAGGACTTGGTTCTGTCTCGCGTCCTACTCATGCCATTGTTGCCGTTCACATACATATTTACTAGCTTCGCAAGTCAGCGATGCCAGTGACGCTCCACAAACATTTACGTCAGTGCACAAATTATTTGTTGGACTCAGATGTTAAATCCCTCTATATTTCCAAGTTTATTCTTATCCTTCAGCTTCCATCTTCTCCGTGGACCACGGGACCAGCTATTGAATTTTTCTTAACGTGTTCCTTTTTGTTACTAAGAGTTTAGGCTTCTAAACTGTACATCAGGATTGGTCGAATAATGTACAGGTTTTATAAATACTGATTTTGATCATTACTTGCTGTTGTGATTGTGAGCATAGTTTGAGTAGCAGTAGAGTTCCTTATGAAAGAGTTCGCCCAGGGAAGTACTGCCACCACACACCTATTTCTGCTGCCAATCAGTGATGTGAGCATAGGTTCAGGCGTTTTTAATAATATTCTTGCGACAATCACCGACTACAACATGATTATTCTATTAGAAGATCTCTACCTTCATTTGTGAATATTTTTATGAGGCCGTGATGCGACCGTTGTCATTGGTTTCACTATGTTTGCCGATAGTGGGGAGAAAGCTATTACTGCGCCTCATTTGGGCAGTGTCTCATATCTTTACGTCGTACTCTATAATCTAATCGTACACCGTTTCCAGATCCACACAAAAGTGGTCGTAGGAATCTGCTCTCCTGAGAGACAAGGGCGTGAGCTTTATGTGTGTAAAAGACGCAGATCAGCATTTGCCTGCACCGCACTTGTTCATACGTCATACGACTCTTCGTAGCGTCGATGCTACACGTTTCATTATTGAAATTACCATAGCGAAGAATGCGCCGTGAATATTTTATTTATTTATTTTTATTAACATATTCATAAATAATGGCCAATGATTCTAAAAAGGTGTTCCACATATATACATACACGGCTACAAGGAGCGTCACAGGGTTGTTAAAACCGCCAAATACTAATTAATTACTTTGTCGAATTCCGGATTTCCGGAAATGGTTTTACTGCATCGTAAGACAAAATTACTGACCTAGGAGTCGAAGTTGGATTTAAAAGTAATTCTAATGGTACCATGTAAAAAAATGCAGTAGATAACTGACCTTTTACCAAAGCAGGGAATAAATAAGTAACGAGAATGGTCACTCTCCGCCCCTTCCTAGCTTTAGATACTGAACCGCGCCCGCATATTGACGGTCACTTGACGATCAATTGACGGAACGGCAGTTTTTTACATGGCACCATTAGAATTACTTTAAAATTCAACTTCGACTTCATAGGTCAGTAGTTTGTCTACAATGCAGTAAGTAACACCATTTCTGGAAATCCGGAATCCGAAAAAGTAATTAATTAATATTTGGTAGTTTTAACAACTCTATGTCGCTCCTTGTAGCCGTGTATCTATATACGTAGAACACTTTTTTCCGACCGTAGCATGTGATTCACGCGCAACTAAGTGTCAAGTAAAAAATATATTTATTACCCGATTCACCATTATCGTCGTGTTATCGCCGAACTACGCACGTTTACAACTCGTTGGCTGTGTTCAACTCAATTACTAATACGTTATTTAATTCTTTGTACTTTAACTTTCTTGAATTGAAGACTACAGAGGTAACATTATTTTACCATTTCGAAATTTGAATTTTTTTTATTATATCAAGTGACGGGACGAACAAGTCGTGCGCCTGATGGTGAGCCACACACCTGTCCATAACAGTTGCAGTGCTATTCAGAGCTTTAAATTGCAAAGATCTGAGGGGCACTGCCACTGCGCCCATCACCATGAGACATAAGTTGACAAGTCCCATGTGCCTGTAATTTCACCAGCACTCTTACCCTTCAAAACCGGAACGCAGTAATGCTTACATTAGTGCTTGGCGGCAGAAATAGGTAAGGTGGCAGTATATTATTGGACGAACTCTTTCACAAGGAGTTCTACTGCTGTTGTTGATTTGTTGTGTTTGTTTTCACCTCGTAAGTTTCTTCTTACTTTTATTCATCTTTTGTTATTGTCCAATAACTCTAGGGGAGTAGTGTATATAAATTTATTTTACAAAATAATTTAAAAACTAAATTGTTGTATATCTCCTATATTTATATTAACTGCCTTCGTGGCCGAACGGTTACCATCTGTGATTATCACGCAGAGGTCCCAGGTCCGATTCCAGGGCCGGGAGAAATATTTGTATGGCCTACATTTATTTCTCTCGTTTGGGTGTAATTTATGGTCGTCTACATGTGTATCCATGGCACCCCCGACACAGGGTTTCCCTAATGCGGGGCTATGTTGAGTGTGTGCGTTATTATTATTATTGTATTCATAAATTGTTTGTTTATATCTAATATTTACTTCTCCTCGCATGATCTCTTTATTGTCTCTTCCGGATCTTTTATCCAAATTTCCTTTTTAAGTAACAAAAATTCCCTGTTTTAAAAGAAAAAGAGACATATTTTGTTGCCTCAATGCAAATGAACATATACTGAGGATTTAATCTCAAATTCGTTTTTCAGTATCTCAACACGTATTAATATTAATAATTTGATTTAAATGTCTATTGTGAAGAGATGTACTGTTCCTTTTTATCAAAACGATAACTCAGTATATCACTGGTATGGCCCCTTTTAAGTGTGACGATGCTAATGGAGAGGACTGAATTTTCCATGTTTTAAAAATATCTATTACTTACATATAAATTAGAATAATATCATCTCTTTATACAACATGAATGGTTTAAACAAACTTTTGTAGAAGAGGTAGAATCCAAATTATCCGATGAAATAAATAGTGGCGCTGGTTCCGCAGGACATAGTGACAGAGAGCGCGTCGTTCGAACTGGCGGCGTTCGTGCCGCTGCTGCGCGAGCGCATGTACACGCGCAACGCTTTCGCGCGGCAGTTCCTCGTGTCGTGGGTGGCCGTTCTGGACGCCGTGCCCGACATCCATCTGCTGGAGTTTCTGCCCGAGCTGCTAGACGGCCTTTTCAAGATGCTCGACGACCCCAACTCCGAGATTCGGAGGATGTGAGTCGCTAAGAGCAGCGGAGCCTGGGGAAACATTTCTTCCGAACCGGCATCGGCACAGGAAATTTGAGATCCGTCCACTCGGTACAGAGTCGTCGTCGTTCGCAGGTGCGACGTGCAGCTGAGCGAGTTCCTGCGCAGCATCAAGAAGGACCCCTCGCGCGCCGACTTCCAGGCCATGATCAACATCCTCATCACGCACGCGCAGTCGCCCGAAGAGATGGTGCAGGTGAGTGCGGCGGGAGGGTCGGGAGGGTCGGCCGAGGCCGGCGGCGCAGTGCACACGGGCGTTGTTTGCAGCTGACGGCGATCACGTGGCTGAAGGAGTTCGTGGAGCTGGCGGGCGCGGCGCTGCTGCCGTTCGCGTCGGGCGTGCTGGCCGCCGTGCTGCCGTGCCTGGCCTACGCCGACGACCCGCGCAACAGTATCCTTGCCATTGCCCCGCGCCCGCGCCCTCGCTCGCCACGTTTCCTTAGCGCGCGCCAGACATCCGCGAGACGGCGGCCACGGTCAACTTCCAGCTGAGCAAGCTGGTCGTGGCGGAGGCGGCCCCCGCGCCGGACCCGCCGCGGAAGGGCGAGGGGGAAGAGGACGGCGAGGGTCTCCGGGTGGCCTCGGTGGTGGGGGTGCTCACCCAGATGCTGCACCATAACTCCGTCCATACCAAAGTGGCCGCGCTCGACTGGATACTGCAGCTTTATAACAAGTTGCCCGCTGAGGTCAGTCGAAATGTTTGCAGATGGGAATTCTCCGTCTTTCTTATTCGGCCCTTATTACCTTTCCAAACTGCAATAGTATATTGTGTAATATGACAGTGAATAGGAAATGATTAACGGGTGCCTATTAGAAGCTCGAAACTGAATTCCGAGGGCTTTAACACTCGAGTTTCTTTTTACCGTCCGTGATACATACGATGTTTTTCATCACATTTAATTGTGGTCCTCAAGACAATAATTATGGATTTGGCAAAAGGCGGTTTCTTTCCGTAGATGCATACAGCTGTGATGGAGTATTAAAAGAAAATGGCTAAATTTTTATACACAGAATAATTAAGTTTAATTACAACAAATTTTTAATACTACTTAAAAGAGTTTAAGCAGTATGTGGCTGAATTGCAATTCAATTTATGTTTAGATAACATTTTAAGCGAATGTTTTAATTTTGAACGTATGTAACCTCCTTGCTTGAACTTGAACTATGTAAGGAAGTAAGTCGTGCTACAAATTAAAAAAATCTTTACCGGCCATGGCTGTAGTGGCAAGAACATAGGCTTCTGGACCGAGGGTTTCGTTTGTTGCATTATAGTCAAGTTGGCCACGTGCAATCATACTAAAACGTCGTAATGTACATCGGCAAGGAACGGTGGTGTCCTCGTGCCGGGGAAACCGCATTTCGAAGGGCGCGGCACGTTGACCTCGGTCGAAGGCGCCGCGCGTGCGGTGCTTCCACGACGACGTCGGTGCGCAGATGCTGCAGGAGACGGACAAGGTGTTCACGGTGGTGGTGAGCAGCCTGACGGACGGCGCCGACGACGTGGTGCGCCGCAGCCTCGCCGTGCTGGCGGAGATCTGCTCCAGCTCCACGCAGCGGCCGGGTGCTCGTGCTCGTTCCTCCGCGGCGCGCGGGGAGACGGCGCCGCGTCACGAGACGGTTGTTGCGCAGGCGACCTGGACTCCAGCCCGTACTACTACAACTTCCTGCGCGCGCTGCTGCGGCTGCTGGCCGCCGACGAGAACCTGCTCGAGGACCGCGGCGCCTTCATCATCAGGTGCGGCGGCGGGCGGGGCGTTAGAGGCCGAGCCGCCGAGCCGCTGAGCCGAGCCGCCTTTGCAGGCAGCTGTGCGTGCTGCTGAACGCCGAGGAGGTGTACCGCGCGCTGGCCTGCTGCCTGCAGCGCGAGCGCGACCTACGCTTCGTGGCCACCATGGTGGACGTGCTCGGCACCATCCTGCTGACGGCGGCCGAGCTGTACGACCTGCGCCAGCAGCTGCGCGCCTTCGACAAGCCGGTACGGCCGCGTCCCGCCGCGCCCCGGCCTCCGCGCTCCGCGCCCCGCTGACCTTTGGCTGCCGCAGGCCACGCACGAGCTGTTCAAGCGGCTGTACGCGTGCTGGTGCCACAGCGGCGTGTCGCTGCTGGCGCTGTGCCTGCTCACGCACAACTACGGCCACTGCAACGCGCTCATCTCCACCTTGTATCCTTTGCTCGCGCCGGTCGTTCGCGCGGACGAACTCGATTCAAATTCATTTAGAGGAAACCGGCCCTAAATGCGTTTGTACGGGTTGGAACGGTACTAATAACGCACGAACGATCAGAGACGAATGATCGCGCATTCGCGAGAACGAAGTCCGTTATGCCCACGCTTTGCGGACAAAGCCGCAGACGTTCCTATAAGTTAGTCACGACCTAAAATGAATAAGTAAACAGGCGGTTATTGACACAACTAAAAGATAATACTTACTCAAAAATAAGACCGGTTTCTGCCAGACCTCCGAGTTGCGATTTATTCCCATTACATTTTAACCAATTACAAGTACACTAAAAACTCGCTGTTGCGCAGTCTTTGATTTTTACACTTACCAAATTGTTATAGTATTATTAATTTTTTATTAAATTGATATTCAATTATTTTTTGTGAAATTATTCCACTAGTTTGTTATAATGAACTGCCTCCGTGGCCGAACGGTTACCATGCAAGACCGCCACGCAGAGGTCCCAGGTTCGATCCCGGGCCGGGAGAAATATTTATATGGTAGGCCATATAGATATTTCTATTCATTTATTTCTCTCGTCAGTTTGGGTGTAATTTGTGGTTGTCTATGTATGTGCCCATGGCATCCGCGACACAGGGTTTCCCTAGTGCGGGGCTATGTTGAGTGTGTGCGTTATTATTATTAATAATTATTAATATAAAGTTCGAACACTTATCCGGCTGGATTCGAACCGATGACGTTTTCTAGCAAACCGTGCTCTGGCACGCAATGCCAACTAAGCCACGGAACAAACCAGCGGACCTCACGATTTTTCTATGTGCTTGTTGTCGGATCTTTGTATTTGGTTTTCAACGACTTTTTAGCCGCAGCGCCATCTATGAGAAATCTATGAAAGTATTTCGTCGCCCAGTTAGATAACTTTACAGACTTTTTTGTTGTAGTACTAGTGTATTTCCAAATATGCAATTGAGAGAAGCAGAAAAAATAAACGATCTCCCGATAAATGCTTATATATTATAACACTTTTTTTATTTTATTTTATTTTTATTTATTTATTAGGAAGACCAACAGCTTAAAACTAAATTAAGTAATAATAATAACGACATAAAGCCAATTACAGGTCCTCACAAATAACAATCGATTTTCAAGTTCTAGCACACAATTTTCAAGAAAGAAAAAATAATCAATTACAAACATAGAGAAAAATTAAAAAGTAAACATCAACAGGAGTCACAAAAATGCCTCACCAACGCATTCCTCGCCGAAGTCACACTTGTATTAAATAAATCTAGGTTAATGATTTTACACAATTCATTAAAGCTACTGCTGGCACGCCACATAAACTCGTCCTGTCTATAATTTGTATGAGATGGTGGTAGATACAATAGCGAATTATTTCTTAATGACTTACAGGGGACTCTCAGCAATAACTGAGATAGCAGTTCTGGACAGTCAATGGAGCTTGATGCTATTTTTAATAGAAACATCAAGTCACCTATCTCACGACGTAATACTAGAGGTAACAGATGGTGCTTCTTACAAAGGGAGTAATAGCTAAAAGTATTGTTAGAGTCATTTGTACGGTAACAAAGAAAACGAATAATTTTTTTTTGAATATTTTCTAAACGCGAAATATAAGTATCGTATCGTGGATTCCAAATTTGGCTGGCATATTCCAAGATGCTGCGGACAAATGAGCAGTACAATATCTTGAGAGTTTTCACTTGGGTAAAATCCTTTGCACAGCGCATGACAAATCCGAGGGACCTGGAGGCTTTAGCAACCATGCTATCTATGTGTTTTTTAGCACTGTAACGACGTGGCACCTTGTATGGTAAACGTGTGTATTATTTAATTTACCTATTAAACGTGTTTAATAGGTAAAAAAAAAATATTATTAAACGTGTGTATAATTATTATTTTCGAAGATTGTATTAAGTGGATGGTGTATCTTTCAATAAATAAATAAATGCTGATAATCGACGTAAGTAGGTAACCAGTAGGGCTAGCGACTTGCGCGATTGCGACGCGACGTAAAGCGCGAGATATTGCTATTCTCTCATAGAAACCTGGCGCAAGTTGAGCTGTATTGTGCTAGCCCCGCGTTAGGTAACTAGGCGGCGATTTCAAAGCAACGCGGCTAGTAGTTTTGGTAGGATTTTTTAGCGTATACAAGTTTCACTTTGTTACATTTTTACAAAATGGAATAGTAGTAGAGCGGGATTAAGGTTCAGGGCAAATATTGTAAAAAGTACTTAACGCATGTTGTAGAACGTGTTTACTTAATTTAGTTTAACCTTGCGACACAGATGAGTTGAGTTGAATTTCTGTCAAGCTCATTCAGAACGTTTAACTTTTATAAATTGGTCTGGGCTAAGTGTTTCCGGAGACACCATAGTATATCTTAACTGTGCGTTGTAGCCTATGATTAATAATTAAAAGCTGTTCCATCAGAGGTGCATTTTTTTAGTAAATGTAAATTTTGGGCCGTCTATCACGGAATTGTCGGGTGTTAATTTCTCGCGGAATAGTAAACCGCATAATTAATTACAATCGTTCACGTGGTAGTTGATCGAAGGAGCGACTGATGGGATATTATTTGCTGATCATCGAGATCAACCGCTTAAAGAGCTGATAATTAGTGTTGACAACCGCGGTCAACCTGCGGTTGGACTTATTTTGATTGGTAAGGTTTTACAGTAAATACTTGTCATTGAATAGCTCGAAAACTACACTTGAGAAAAAAAATCAGTACAATACAGTGCATGTAAGATTTCAGAGTTTTCGGCTCTGCGGTCATTACGTTCCACTCTGTATCCTAAAAGTCAACATAAATTCGAATCTTACATTTTGTAAATATTGAGAAACCTGCGATAACAGCTGAGTATATTCCACAAATCCCCACTAACGTAGTACTGGCTACGCAGTGGGGATTTGTGGGAAAAAAAATCCCCACCGAGATAATTAACCAATTACACGCAAAATAGGCGCTTTGTCGTCGAGTTGCGGATACCAGCCCGTTGCACCAAGTACCAAGTAGTAATTAACCAATTATATTTAATTTAAATGATTAATGTGAAGAAAGTTTTGTTGATTCATTATAAATTTGCTTTCATCATTGCAACCAAATTTCGTTATGCAACCAAATAAAATCTTTTACAATTTTAAATTAATTTACTACTTTGTAATCAATATTGTATTACATTACCAGGTCCGTCTCACTTTATTTTTAATTTTATAAATTTTTAGTTATGTAATTGTACTAACCCTAATAACTAACATAGTTAAGTTGTTATGTTACTAACCTACTAATTTATATGGATTACTGTGGTCCGAAATAAAAGATTTTTATTTTATTTATGTATTAGGAAACAAGACATTTTTTAATAACCATTTAATACCCGAGTTGACTTTTCTTACGCGTTCAAGAGCGAAAATTGTTCGAGTACTCGTTTAAGAATAACTCAATATTCTATAGGATGTTCAAAACTGCGTTTTAAAATTAAGAAAAGTCAATTAAGCATCGTATCTTTGGTGTGACATTAGCGCTAAAAATCTATATAGGTGTTTTCGGCTAACCATGAACTTGTCACTTAAAAATCAAATATAGTAAGTAAAATAACATCTTGGTGGGAATTTGTTCCACAATTTCCCACTGCGTAGCAATTGCCACGTTAGTGGGGATTTGTGGAGCCAAATTTTAAGATTCCACCAGTGGGGTTCCATTTGTGGAATGAGCGGGCTCTGAAACATTTCGCACATGATACCGAATACTATCGTAACTCAAATTTGTGAAATTGAGAAAACACGATTTAAAAATGAAAAATCCACCTTGAGAATGAATTTTCCAACACAAAATTCTTTTTGGCAATACGTAGTGTTGGATCATGGAAAAGTTTCCATTTTGAAAATATCATATTTTTCAGAAAAATAAATATTTTTCCTGATATTTTTCACGTTTGACGTTGATACCTGTCAAAATGTGTTTCCACTATTTCAAATTTTCGGAAAATTACCTAACAGCAGGATTACGCGATATAAGTTTTGAAATTGTGACATTATCACGCTATATAATTTATTAATCGAAGGACTATAGGTAAGGGGCCTTGTTAGTCCGAGAAAATAATAATGAAACATTCAGATTTATGTCCAATATTTAACAATTTAAAAATATCATTCGCAAAAAAAAACTATTATAACGCCATAAGGTTACTTTTTTTTAAACTTTTCTGTTGTTATTTGACCTAACAGTAATTAAGCCAGCTAAGCAAGTTGTTAATGAATGACGTTATCAAAATTAAACTGTTTTAATTGTGAATGAGAGTCGTCTAAGTAATAAACTAATGTCGTTTGTGAAAAATTAATGATAATTTAAGGAACGAAAACGGTTAAATTGCTAATCAGTTACGTTTTTATCAACTGTGTTGGCGTGTCATCTTTCCAAATATAGATTCAACACTATATGTATGTATGCATATGTGGTAACATTTGGAAACGGGAATAAACTCGTTTACATACGAATAGGTATTTTTCACATCTACCTATTTTCCCGACGTTTCTGTCAGCCCGTGACCACGGCCAGTGCAACCTGGCCGCTCGTTTGCAAATGTTAGTACAATGCAGCGCGAAAGTTTAAAAACTAAATGTGGTGTTTACATATCGACGCAGGAGTGGAATTTTAGTCTTATGTAAAGTCTGTGCCATTCGAGCCTTAATAAGTCAGTTCCAAAGTAGCAATTATTTGAACAATAATTTTTGAAGTCGTTTTACGGTATAAACTTATTTTCTTATTTATTAATTAGGTCACTTTCATTTTAAAGGTGTAGTACACGAGTATACTCTCGTTCATAAATGGATAATTAAGTATTATGTACAAATAAAAATAATTACATTATTCGCAATATGGTCTATTCAATTTTGTTTTTAAATTTCAAAAATTGTGTTATTCTCAATTCGCAATTTTGAGTTACGACAGTGTTCGGCTTAATGTACGACTTCAGTCCAAAATGAAGTTCGCTCTCAATTTGAACTTTTTTATACGCATTTTATGTAGTCGCCGGGTTTCGGTTGTTAGCTATTCACTTTCGTAGCAAGAACGATGAATAATAATCCCCTGAACGGTTCGGCCAGCGGCGACCTCGAGATCACGGTGGATTTCCTCACGGAGGTAGACAAGCTGGTGCAGCTCATCGAGTCCCCGATCTTCGCATGTGAGTGTGAGCGCCGCGAGCCGCGAGCCGCGCCGCGCGACTCTGGCGAGCGGGTGTGTGTCGCAGACCTGCGCCTGGAGCTGCTGAGCGGCGCGCAGAGTGCGGCGCTGCGCGGCGCGCTGTACGGCCTGCTGATGCTGCTGCCGCAGAGCGACGCCTTCCACACGCTGCGCAACCGCCTGCAGTGCGCGCCCGCGCTCGACCAGCCGCTCGCGCTGTACGTATGCACGCGGCCCGCTCCGCCGCGGCCCGCTCGAACGCGTCGCCCGTTGCAGCAGCGCGGCGGCGGCGCCGGCGCCGGCCGACATCGACTTCGAGGAGCTGCTGCGCGAGTTCACGCGCGTGCAGCGCGCGCACCGCGACTTCCGCCTCGTGGACCGCAGCCGCGCCAAGCTGCTGGACAAGCCCTTCGCGTAGCCGCGCCGACGACTCGTCTCCGATGGCGCTTCCGGCTCGCCTGGCGCGACCGCGGCCGACGACTCAAATTTGACTAGCCCGTGGCTCTTATTCTCGCGAAAGGTCGCAACTATAATTCTCAGAATCTCATCTTGCACGCTGCGTATCGAAACGTGGCAACTTCAGGGAGAACCGGGTCCCGTTGCCGTCGATATAAGCTTAGTTGCGAGGTCAATCACCTATGCAGCTTCAAATTTAAAGCACCGCTTATACCTACTCGTTTCTTACTAGAACGAACCTAATTAATACCTGGCTAGTCCAATTTGTCAAGCCCGCCCGGGGCCCCGCCAAGGCAAGCTTCGGAATGCAAACGATATGGGAAGTAAAGATATTTGTAAATAAACAAGGCCGACTGGCGCTTTAGCGAAATGAGTATTGCGTTCAAACAACTTCAACATTTAGATTTGATTAGGATGTATGCATTTGTCCTAACCAAACTCAACATAATGTATAGTTACATTCCATAATTCGTAAAAAAAAAAACAAAATATCTTTAATAGTATATTGAATATTAATATATTGCAACGTAAGAATACAGTTTAACTATATAAAAAAGGGTTTTTTATTTCAGTCGTAAAAATTGTACATATTTTGCAGATTTAATACGTAGCACGCGTTTACTATGCGATACATGCGCTTTACATGTCTAAAGGTAACTTTAACAGGGAGTCTTCACAATACGTACGCATTGTCAAGATACATATGCAAGACATTTCGTATATTACTTGCAATTAGCTTAGTGGAGATTGTTTCTCAACAATTCTAATACCTGTTGCGATCTGTAGGTGTGATTTTAATATCTGAGGTGCACATATCTGTAAAAGTTTAGTAACCGTGAAGGAAGACGTCTCGAAGAAACCTGCGCGTCGGAGGAGGTTACTCACTAAATGATGTGTTGATAAAAATGAATATTCCTAAAAAAGATCGCGGTGTCGACTGCATCTCACTCACTCATTAAGGCGTACGGCGGAAAACAAAAATAGTACTTATTTGGAAAGATTCACAATTTAGGTAATAGTACATTTACTTTTCTTTACTTCGTCTTCGCTAGTCTCGTTCCCGGTGAGGCACGCCGAGCCCGCCTCCCGCGAAGCGGCCGATTCGTAGATTGCCGTTTTAATTCCGGACTCGAGAGACGTCATCGCGATCTCGTCGGAACTTTGTACGCGAATCGAGGAATCGCCCTCGCCGCCGTCGTTCGGCGAGTCGGCCCTGGCGCTCGCGGTCGCGGGCCGGGCACCGCAGGGCGCCGGCCGCTAGGGCCGCAGCCGCTGCGACAGCCGCGCCAGGCGCTCCACCAGCGCCGAGTTGCCGGCCACGCGCGTCGCCAGCTCGTCGTGCGCGGCCAGCAGCGCGCGCACCCCCGCGCCCGCCGCGCCCACCCCC